AAGATTCTAATTACTTGATCTTTAGGAAATATCTTTTTCTCATCAATCATAGCTGCTACAGGCTGCAGTTCTTTTTCAGCAAATTCTCGAGAAGTCTTCTGAAGCATTTTGTGAGTATCGGACAAAAGGCATGCATTTGAGATTGACCTGATGCCTACTGTTTTTTTCAGTAATGGTCGCCCTGAAGGAATTTATTTAGCAAAAGAAAATTTTTAATACAAATAAAAATAGTAACAAATAGAAGAAGCTGGAAAAATAGAAACCGCTCTTCAGAGATATATTTAATGTCTAATTTTTTAACTTCTCCATTTAATATAGCGATGGATATTTCTTACCGAAGAGTTATATGATAAGCAGAATTTAGTCATTTTGCTTCCCTTTGTTGCATTAATAAAGAAGTTACATCTTAAAATTTTTAGATTTCTTTTATTCTTAATGATAAGAAAAAATTAAAAAAGCTCTTCATTTACGTACAAAAACATAGCAAATTTAAGCACTTTCAGTCAATAAAATAGTGCAAAATAAGTTTTAATTTAATACGAATTGTTTATTAATTATATACTTTTCCAGAATTCTATATAATCTAAATTTCGTGCACACTCATGCTTGGAATTTTTTTTTCGCTATGAGGAAATAATCAAACTTATATGAAGTGTAAATAGAGCTAAGACATGCTAATTATTATAATTACAAAGCAATTATGAATGTACCACTATTGTGCATATTTATTTGTACTACTATCAGTATGTTACGAAATTTTAGTAATTAATTACAATTCCTTACATGATGTTGCTTTTTTCACAAACATAAGTGTAATTTAAATTGAAAAAACAAATTACATTAGAAATTAAAGTTGCTTAGTATTAAATTTTACAAAACAACTACAAAAAGAAAAAGTTAAACAATAAATAAAAAAAGGTCAAAGTTGTAATTGCGTTATTACGATCAGTGGTTACCCATTTACAAATGCCTTTTCGTTCTAGATTGAAACGCCACAACATTTCAAATCATGGGTTCCAAAAACTGTCTCAATTGATGTTTGTCGTCGTATTGGTTTTCAAATCCTGCCTATACGAACGTGTTTCAAGATGTCAAGAAATACTTTTCCTTCTTTAGTATTCATATTTATATTGAAATCGCCGTCAAGCCAGTAATTATAAGTCAATAATAAAATAATATAAAAATACTTTAAGTTATTATTATGTATTTACATTAAAAATACCAGCTGGTGAAAATAAAAAGAAAAACAGCAGTAGTCACCATAGCAACTCAGGCAATGACGACGCATTCGCAGTGTTTTTTATTACACTTGAACCTTGGTATACAAAAACCAGATTAACTATAAACTAGACAAAAACTATTTATTCTGGTGGCCTCGTCTTCAATGCAGTTGAATAGTGTGATAACGTCCAAATAAGTTGCGCACGCCATCAAACCCAAAAAAACACCCATTTCGCCAATGGGTTATAGAAATATCTATACTTGTTTATTTTGGGCAGCCATAACAATATTGCCTAACAAATGGAATTGACACCAGTGATGCTTAATTGATGGTGGAAATAGTTATTACTGGTATTGTGTATAATAGGCTGCTAATGTATTAGTAAAGAGATTTCAGAAAAAAAAAAAATTTAAGACCCCTGAAACGAATAACATTGAAAAAAGGGATATTTCCATATTGGAACCCGTTCATGCCAGCTGAAATTGCCAAGGCACCAAAAGAAATTGCTCAGTAGTTTAACCTCGATTAAAATTTTAAAAAAAAAAATACATATTGTGTTGCAAGGGGATTGGTTAACAGGTTTAAATGAGAAATTTTAGTTTCGCCTAGCCGATTTCTGCAAATCGCCAATACGTGGCAATTAAATTACCGCTACCGATCCAGAAATCTCCCACTAAGAGATCATTGTCTTTCAGTTAGCCAAGTGCCAGTAAAAAGGTAATAAGAAATATTCTCGCAGGCCCTGAAAATGCCAAAATTTGGCAGTAATTTCGGCGAGTACATCAATATAAAAATCATCCAAAAAATACTTTCAATGCTCACTTCATATTTATTCCTTAAAAGAATTCCCGATGAACTCCATATTTAATGTTTGCTTAATTTTTTTAGTTATTTGGTTTTCAAATTATTCATAAAAAATCTAAAAAATTCAAAAATAATCTTTCCCCAATATAATTTGCAGTGTTCATTTACACAACAATTGACATTGTTACTAAAAAAAATAAGTAAATAAAAAAATAAAATTAAAAAAAATTTAAAAGAAACTCAGACAACACCTTTCCTTTGTTCTATTAGTTTTCCATCGTTTTTTTAATAATTCCTATTACCTATTTTATTTTGATGAATTTAAGTAATTTGTTATCATACTGTTATTCAAACTTAACAAGTTTAACAAACAAACAAGTTTATTCAAAAATTCAAATAGAAACACATTAAGTCCTTTCTAGAAATTTGCACTGAAAGCAAAATTTGTTTTATCATGCTCATTAAATTTATCAAACTTGCACATAAAGTGTTGTGAACTTGCACATAAGTTGTTTTTGAAATAGGCATAATTTAAGCGTAATCATATTTAATTTAAACACAAATAAATGAATAATTAAAACAAGCAAATAACACAGATTATTGGCCTTAGCAATTAATGCTGCACTTTTCTTAGGCTTTAATTTCTCTAAACTTATTTTAGAAGAGCTTCCGTTTATCAATGTGACTTTAAATTGATAATGATTAGACAGCTCTTACCATAAATCATTTCTACAAATTATTCATAGACAGTTTATTGAGCATATTTATTAACTTAAAATTTCGCAATGACATTCATTTCTAAACATTTTTTACAATAATATGATAAAAATGTAACTATTATTTAAATGAGAAATAAAACAGATTTTAATACCTATGAATTTTTTATTTACCTGATAATCGGAAGAGCGTTCCGAAATAATGTTTTGGTAGCATGAAACCCATGTTTGCACGAAACCCAATCTATGATAAAAATCCCTCCAAAAAATATCACACATTTACTTTATAAAAGAAATTTCGTTTTAACTATCAACATAAAATTTTTATCGTCATTTCTCTTTCTCAGAATTGGTGGATATGTGGCTTAACTACTACTGTAAATATTGAATACCTATTGACTAGTATATAAGACATGTTAACTTGATTCTACCTAGACATAGTCTAAGATTAAATCCCCTCAGATACACCTGCTTTATGTCTTTCTTCTATTTTTACAGGCACGGAAGATAGAAAAGAAAAAGTAATGTTAAACATTGTTTAACAGTAATGGTAAATCAAGATTTTAAAGAAACAAGAAAAACGAAATAGAAAATCAAAACAAAACATAAATAAACACTTACTGACGCAATCTATTCGAGTGTGTTATATTGAAAATGTTAAGTTTTTACTGCTAATACGAAATAGAAAGTTCGGCAATCGTAATAATTTTACATTTATTGCTTATTATATACTATACTTTTAAGGCAGCGTTCCTAATAAAAAAAATTACTAAAATAATTTTATTTTAAAAAAACGAAGTATGAATTAATGAAAAGTATTAAAGTTTCCCTCAGAAATTTTAAGTGGAACTTTAATTTATGGTTATAGAGTTCTAAAAAAATAATTATTAATGCCGAATACATAATACTTTTTTTCCAATATTTAAACATTGTAATACACATTTTTGATGTTGTTTAACAAATTAATAGCAAAGTAAATGGTGTTTTTTTTATGCAAAGCAAAATCCTACTAAATCTAGATTTTATATTTTTTTTAAAAAAAGTAACCGGAATCAGTAAAAGTAAAGATACATTACGTTTAAATTATACGCAATAATTTTTTTAAAATACAAGAAAAAAACATTACGTCGTTTAACAAATATACAAAAGAAAAGGGAAAAAAACAGTAATATTTTTTTATATACAAATGTTAAACTAACAAATAAATGCCATTGAAATTAAAAAAGATAATTATATTTATTACGAAATAGATATTTTTAATAAATTATAATTCACAAGGACTGCAAATTTTAGTGTCGGATATCAAACCTTGTCAATGGTAAAATGATGAAAAATCTTCATTCCTCTAATTAAATATTTTAAAAATAGTCTTTTTTTTTTATAGGTTATAACGTTCACAATTACATTAATAACTTTTAATCGTTATGTCGGGTTTTCGTCGACAGAAGACTGATTATTTAGGGTTCCGTAGAGGGAAGTCTAAATAATAATTGGGAACCGCTGCTTCAGAGCATGTCATAATAATCACTAATTCAGTTAATTTTTTTTTTTTTTTTTTTTCGCACTTTTATCAAATGTGTGATAATAAGAGCTATAGTTTTTAAAGCCAGAATTTTCGATAAACTGTTCCAATGCGAACGAAAAAATTACCAAATGAATGGTTTAAAAACCATATATTTTGGTTTTGTTACCAAAATTGTTTTTCTTTTCTTTTTCGCGAAAAATGTCGCAATTTTTTCTTCGTGCGTTATTTTGGGTTCTACTTCTTCCGCACTAACTATTTAGACATAAATACTGAAAATGGAATATCAAATCCAATCTTTGAAACATGGCTATTTTCATGCACTTTGACTTCTACACTTATTTTAAAAATTAATTTTGCAGATGAATTATTTTTTATAAAACAATGCAGTTAAACTAATTATATCAAATTCAATAAATTTTCTTCTGTATATTTAAGGAACTATTTCGATGCTATGAAATTAGAAATAGTAAGCAATTAGAAATTAATTTAATAATTTATTTACATAAAAGGCATGTATTTTTTTTAAAAAAAAGTTTTTTTAAAATTTATTCCTGATTTTGGTATAATTCTTAATCAGCAAATTTTCACTTTCTCTCTTTTTCTAATGTATTAGATAAGAATAAATTGTAATCAATTGATGTATTTGTAAAAAATAAGCCATGTTGACTAAAAAAACAATACAGATAATAGAAAAGCAATTAATCGCTACAGGGATAAAAATGTATGCACCCCCCCCACAGCTGTTTATACCTCCCTATCCCCGTTTATAATCGAAGCAAATTATTCAATGTTATAAAGTGTACAAATATTTTTTTATTTTTTTTCTAGGCCGTTGAAGGCACTCTGAAGCGAGCACGTGAGGGCCGTTATATTAATATTGTTTCCAAAAAAATAATAATATTTAAAAAATAATAATAATTAAAAAATAATAACAACTAAAAAATAATATCATTTCGTAAGCTGATATTCTTCCATTGATGTTTATAGTAAAAACATTTGTTAATTTTTTTGCCTTATTTTTAATTGTTTGAAGTACATTTGTTAAATCTTTGTTCAAGATTAAGAATTATCATTATTTGTGTAAAAATTATCATTATTTTATATTGTGTCTTTTAAATATCAGAGAAAATAAATGTGATACTGGTTTGAAGTATCAACTCTGCTCTTGATACTAGGATACCTTGTACACCAGGAAAAATCACCTTGTGAGAAATTATACGGATTTGACTACTAGTAGAATTCAGGCTGATTTATCAAATTGTAATGTAATTAAGCATTGAAAGAAATGTTAATATTTGAAAGAGATTAGATATTTTTTAAAAACATTTAATTAAAGCATAAGGATTAATTTGAAGTCTACGAAGAGGTACTGTCTTCACTTCATTTATTCTCTTCAGCAGCTCAGCTATTTCTTCTTCTATAACTCTACAGCCCTTTGTGAACCCTGGCTTGTTTCGCAATTCTACTTCAAACAGTTCTACTTCAACAGTCTCCCTCCACCTACTGATCTAATATTATAAAAATAATACTATTTCAACAAATTATTTTTTTTAAAAAAAGTATTGCTAACTTTCGTAATTCGAAAATGTAATATCAAATCGAATCAGTTTCTAAATTTACATAATAGTTAATGGTATGCTTTTTACGAGATCTTACCAGTTCTTCTTTTAAAGTGAGTTTTTTTCTTTTCTTTTTTTCTTCTTCTTGTGGTTGGTTGGCTCTAATGCCACTTTCCACACGGGGAAGCCTGCTTGGTGAAACCGAGCAAATTTAAGGCAGAGTGTGAGATTCTTGTTTTTCAGTGGCGCCATCTATGGCAAGGAATTCGACTTCACCACATCATACGTCACACCTGTTTATAAGGCGGACCCATTCATCCACAGATCGTAATTTTGTCCTGAATCAGCGAACGATCAATCTCCAATCCAGTACCCCCAGAGGTATTGACTTGTTATGGGGGACATGGAGGACTTTTGCGACTCGACAGATTTACCGTGCATCAGTCACCATTTACTACACGGGGGGTCTTCGGCCGGCGGGGTTCGAACCCACGAACTCTCGGGCATGGGCTCAGCTCCCTACCGACCAGGCTATCCCGGTCACAATTCCTGTGATTCTTCTATGTTAGTTCCGTGAGTCATTTGTGATAATCAGTTTTCAAATTTGACAAGACTGTGCAACAAAGAAGACTATTTCTGTTAATCCATTTTCACTGGCGCACATTATTTTATAAGACACCGATGAGTTAATGGTTGAAAGCTTCATTTTGAGATAGCCAATGTCCAATTGAGGAATAAAAGATGTGAAAAGAAATGTAGTAAATTTTTGATTAAGTTAAGTAGATAGCTTCTATTTATTGCAGCGGTAACATGGTTTTTTTTTCTTTTTACAAAGGAAAACTTGAAGCTTATAATATTTATTTTTGTTCCATTTTGCTACTTTATTTCGTGAAAAATTTAAAACAAAGGAGAAAGAAAGAGAAAAAAATTTCTCCCTTTTATTATTATTTTTTTCTTTGTGTGTATTTGTTAATTTCGGTCACAAAACATATTTCACGAAGCATATCATTGCCTCACATTAAACTCATAGACACGAACTTATTCCGAGTACAAATTCACTTTGAGAATAATGACTAAGTATTTATATATGATATTTCTTAAAAGTTATTCTCTTAACATCTCTCGATTTATCAGGAGATTTTCATTGCAGATTAAGAAAAGTAGCAGTAAATTTAATAGTTAAACATTAAACGTAAATTTTGCAGTTAAGCATTAAACGTAAATTTTATAGTTAAACATTAAACTTGATGTCACCTTCAGCTGCTAGAAACATTAAACTTAAATGTTTGAACAATCACATCTAAATCAGTTGTCCCATAAGTCTCAATTTCAGAGCCGTAACGAAAAATAAGTGGATAAAAATTAATAATTGCGAAAATGTCCTTTGTCTAACCTTTCTTTCTTTTGTTTTTTTAAAAAAAGCTGTATTTTGTATTTATTTTTAATCCTCGTTTTATTTGTAATTCATATCTTATATTTTTCATTTGTATTTTTGCAATTCATATTAAAATCTAATTTGTGATTAGTTAAAAAAAACAAAAATGTTAGTTTCAATTTAATACAGTTTAATTCATTTTAAAACTAAATGGTGGAAAACGTACAATAAACATATAATGAAAACATATAATTTGTATTTGGATATAAAATATACATTTAGTGCATTCATTGGATTCTAGAAGTAGTTCTAAAGAATTAAAGTTTAACTTTCTCAATAACATTTTGTAATCACGAAATCAATTCTTGTATATTATCTAAAGTTAGAAGTAATTTCTAGTCGCATTCTAATGAATATTCAAATGCATTTTCAATCTGAATTCATGTTTCCAAATTGAACAGACAGTTAAATTCATCAAAATTTTAAAACAAACACTCATTACTTCGTGTTTCAGTTTTGTATTACAGTATTAAAAGCAGTTTTTTATTCTTGTGTTTTTTATTTCTCAAAATTTTTCCTGGTGCTTATTTTTCCTTATGATAGCTGAGATTTTTCTTTATGATAGATGAGTGATAGACTACTGAAAAAGGCTTGAAATTATCTTTCATTTGTGAATTCCGAAGCTAATGACTTATTTTTTGGACCCATATATATTTCCTAAAAATTAAATATTTATTGATTTCCTTTAAATTATATATTTATTGATTTCCTTTAAATTATATTAGTTAAATTAATATTAGTTTAAATTAAATAA